AACTTTCAGATACTTTGTAAATGATTTTCGAAGATATTGCTGAAAGTCTTTGAATTTCCTTGAAAAAGGCTCCGAATCTTACTAAAAATCCCTGAAAAATGTTTTCAGACATTTTCAGCGAAATTTTCAGAAAAATTTTTTCACCAGGGTTACCTATTACAACTAACGTGAGTATTTTTTAAATAGCTATCCTTCTTTCTTTTTCTTTTTGCACTTTATTAAATATGCGCTTCCTTTGTCTGTTGCAGATGGCGACAGATTCCTTCGGCGATTTTGTCTTATCAAAAACTATATTATATAAATTTTAAAATAAATATTTTTTATAATTTTAATCATCAAATATTCTTTTTTTTTTTCCTCTTCCTTCTCTGTCGCGAACTTGCGCAACGGGAGGGATGCGAGCGATAAGCGCGGAGTGGGCCCGTGAACGCGGTGGCAGCGAGCGCCGTGGCGGCGGTACCGCGGGGTGGGCCCGCGAGCGGCGGCGGTGGCGGCGGCGGTGGCGGCGGCGGCGGCGGCGACGGCGGCGGCGAGCGTGAGCGCGATTCCCTCTTCCCCGTACCCACAACGCGGTTCCCCCGTCCCCTCGACCTCCGCATCCAAGACGCGATCCCCCCGTCCCCGCGACACCCGGGTCAGGCCAGCTGGAGCGAGCGGCTTTCAGCGGCTTTCCCCTCCCCGCTGACCCCGGATCAGGCCGAGAACCTTCTGAGCGGCTTCCCCCTTCCCGCGGACCCCCCTCCCCCTCGGAGCCTCATGGAGTAGAACCGGCCTATAATAGCTACTTTATTACAATAATTAAATATAATACATTAAATTACAATCAAAGGTAAAAAAGCTGGGTATTTGTAACAAAAAACAATGTATATTTCGAAAAGAATCTAAACGTTTCTGTTATATATTAAGCCATTCTTAGGAGATCATTACAATTTAAATATTTAATATAAAATCACAAATTTTAAAACATTTACATAGATTTTCTAATATTCATCATACATCGCAATTAATATAGAAAAATTGAAACATATTTACGCAGATTTTGTAATGTTTGTCATAAATCGCACAAGTAGTCGTTTGGAAGAATTTATAGAAGTATAATGCGCTTACTTCGTACTGTCTCTAATATGTACAGGGTGTTGCATTTACATATTTGGCAATACGACGGGTTGTGCGACAGATTTCGCACGGGCAGACACGGCTCAATAGGTAACGATAGTATACCAACCATACTATATATGTATATCATCGTTATCTATTGAGTCGTGCCTGCCCCTGCGAAATCTGTCGCGCAACCCGTCGTACTGCCAATGCAACACCCTGTACATGTCGTTGTTGTATTATGTCCAAGTCACAGTCAAGCAGATAAGAGTTAATATTGACTGGATTCTCACTCTCATCTGCTTGTGAAACCGACTTCATCTTTTGAGCCGGTTTCCGCTAATGTCGCTGACCGCCAAACACTTTTATCCACGGCAGAGCGGGTGCTTAAGGTGGTTAAGGCGTGGATGACGGCACGTGAGAAGCCACGGCCTCATGAAAACACCACTCAAGAATCAATTAGTGTTTGGGCTAGCTAGTAAGAAAGTACAAACACACTTATTGGAAAAAAGACCTAACGCACGAGCAAACGTTGAAAATAGCTACAACTATTGAACTCTCAGAGAAGAGTTCAGCATTACAAGTATCATTGGTACAACCTACAACCCAGGTGGATGTCGTCCGAGCGGGAATAAAGCAACAACGGAAGTCGGGAATAAATAAGCCACAGAATTTCCAGAAAGGGAAGTCTACAAATTTCAATTATGCGGCAAATGCTAATTTTCGCTCTTACACCGAAAGATCGCGCGAATGTAAACAGGAGAGGTAATTCAAACTATTCGAAGGAATACCCGAGTAAACAAATAACATGTTTCAGATGCGGTAGAGGTCACCTGGCCTCACAATGTACACTAACATAAGTAGAGAGATTCGTTGTTCTGGATGTGGCGGAAATGGGCATTTAAAAAAAGTATGCTTTAAATCGAAAGAACAAGCAAATCAGTTGGAGGACATACTACAGCTGAAGCATCCCCAATTTTGAAATAAATTTTATTGCACGTTGAGAGTCAATGGGAAGCGAATTAAATTTGAGATGGATAGTGGATCAGCGGTGACCGTGATGAGTAAGTATGATCGCCCATCGGTTCTTTCCATATTCGATCATCTATCCTACGAAGTTAAATTTAGTCGCGTTCTGTAAAACAGTAATAGGTATAAAAAGGATACATTACAGTATTAATTAGAAGCGATCAAATCGAGCGTAAACTAAATATATACGTTATAGAAATCAATAGAGAACCACTTTAGGTAGAAAGTGGATTCATCAACTCACTGTCCCAGGTGGGATACCTGACTTTCTGGACTGCAATGCCGTAGATAATATAGAAAATAAGAAATTAAAATTAGAGGAAATGCTCAAAAAATACAGAGACTTACGATCAAAGGAGTGGGCGAAGATAACAGGGGTACAAAGTTGAGGTTAAGTCCTAAAGCAACGCCAGTATTTCTTAAAACTAGATCGGTGCCGTTTAAGTTGATTACATTATTAGATAGATAATTAGAAGAATTGTTACGGGTAGGAATATTTACAAAAATTGAAATTCGAGGGGGCAACGCCGATAGTACCGATTTTAAAATTGGATGGACGAATACAAATATGCGGAGATTAT